TCTTTCTCCCTTTTGGACCACAGCAGAGCTGTCTCTCACTGTCAAATGCCTCTGTGGATAAGGTCATAATGGCTGTTAAAACATCTCCATCTCAACGGTAACTGCCATGACAAAATATTGCATGAAAAAATAGAAGATTTTTATTCATTTACACGCATTTGAGATAAGGTGCTAAAGTTAGTTTAGAATCAAGTTACAAGATTGGACAAACATTACAGAAGATATTCTTCTTATGTACATATATATATATATATATATATATATATATATATATATATATATATAGAGAGAGAGAGAGAGAGAGAGAGAGAGAGAGAGAGAGACATCAGCTATATCAAACATATATATCAGATAAATGATATAACTTCCTCGGTATCACTAGATGACAATATAAAGAATTGTGAATAGGCTCCACCCTGGGGACTCTAGATAATATGAATGTTCACATAAAGTTTTAAAGTTTCATTTTTTTCACCTTTGCCACAACATTCAGCCATAGGATGAGGTTTGGCCATCACGGTTTGGTCACAGCACATTTCATTTAGCCGATCATACACCAGCTTTCCACAGCATTTGAACACCCTAACACCTATTGTGGGAAAAAAATTAGAAGAAAAAAAGGTTTTGTCACCTCACAGTCTCTTCAACCTAAGGTACAGGTGATGATGCAAGAACATAATGTGCCTCCTGAAAGCTGTTGTACAAGTTATACAGAGTTCAGTGAGAGGTCTCAAGGCACGAGGAAGATAGGCTTTTGTCCTGGGGACAAAGGATGTGGTAATTCTCCTGGTAAGAAAGGTGAGAGTAAGTTAACTCAAGTAGAAACTTACATGGACTACAAAATAAGAATGTGCTTTTTAATTTAGCTTGTTTCAGGAAGTCTAATTTGGGTGAAAATGAATGCATTCAAAGCAAAGGTACATTAGAAAGCCTGATTTTGGTCTTTTATATGAACACTGAGAGATTGTATCGCTACTTTTTCAGAAATGGTATCAGTACACAGGTTTATATTTACCATCTGTAGTTGGGACCTGAATGAAAGTCATATGTTGGCTTTACAAGGTGTAGAGCAAAGTGGAAACAATGCAGTGGTGCCAAGACTGATGCTAGATGGCCATCACTTAAAGCTAAAGTTAGTGCTTTTTATGTGTATTATCCCCTCAAATTCAGTCATTTGCATATAAAACCATAGTAAGTGGTCTATTCAGATGCTGAAAGATTATTCTGACTGCAGGACATACTCAAGTCTTCATCATAGATTTTGGGACATTCCTCTGGGGTTGCTTCCGTCCTTACTCTATCCGACTTTCTGCAAAAAGAAGATAACGTAGAGCTGAATGTTACTGACAATTCGGTTAGGTATTTCATAGACTTCACAAAAACTATATCAAAATTGGTCATTTAAAAAACATGACACCCTGCCTCTCATAAAAGGCCGTGGAAAACTGTTCCTAAATGGACTTCTATGCAAATGTTCACCTGTTTTTTTTTTTCACACCAGCTGAAATCCGTTGATAATCATTTTCCAAGAACGATGGCAATAGAGGTTCGTTCCAAAGCAAGCACTACAAATAAGGGACTCCGATTCGAGGTAAGTTTTTTTTTTTTTTGCCATAAAAATCTTAAACAATCGTGACCACCACTCCCATGTACATGTGCTCCCGCCCCGGGGCTCCAGCTTGGTCGTGCTGACTAATGCTGATAACTGAATACTGGTCTTTATCACCCACCCATCCACTGGTACGAACAGCCTTGAGAGGCTGTGAGAGGTTCCTGCAGGAACATGCACGGTTGTCGAACGTGAGAAAAACCAATGCCTCTCTCATAAACAGAGCTCCTCCCAGAGATTCGTACCGTCAACCCTCTTGCTGTGAGGCGACCGCACAACATCAACGCGTGGCCCACCCTAGTCCAGCTCAGGACAGATGCATGCTCAAGTGAATGCAGATGGGGTTTCATCATTCAGCCAACGAAAAATAGCTCCTGGTATTCTGGACGCCAATAAAAAAAAACTGTATGATGAAATCTCAAATGAGCCAGACATGATGATGTCACATCGGCATTCTAACAGAAATGCCAATTTAAAAAAAAAGAAGAAAAAAAAGAGAGAAAATATTTCCTCCTTCCTTGGGTCATTGCGCGTGTTACACCAAAATTAGGGACACACACACTTGAAGTGCGCCAGGACGGAAAGACGAGAAGTCTCGTGGTCTGACGCGCAACAGCCGACCCCATAAATTCAAAGGGATGGAGCCGTGGAGGTGAGGCATTAAGAACAGGCACACAAGGACAGAGAAACTACACTTGTGATGTAGTTTTACAACGGCGAAAATTTGAAACAAATACTCTCTCGCTTCTTTTTTTCTGTTTCATATACAATCACACACTGAGTGAGAGAGACAGATATGATGGGGGAAATCTCACCTGTCCGTGCCGTTTGGAAGGCCTCCATTTGCTCCAAAGCCGGGATCTGCAAACACAAGGTAAAAACATTGGAATACAATTAGCTGATTAAAATAAGAAAACTTTGAATGGAAATCCTTGTCGTCGAAAAAAATAGGGGCGTAGTTAAATTCCACGCAGAATTCACATTATTCTAAAGTAACCAAAAGAAAGGGGCAGGTTGCAATTTAAAATAGCTGACATTTTTAAATCAATGTCTGAACACTCCCTCCAAGGATTACTACATCAACGTTGTTCTGGAACAGAGTCGCCAGAAGAAGAGACAGATTATCTGCCACACAAACTTAACATGAATGATTTCATTTTTGCTCCACGCAGTGAGAAATTAACACACGCTTTTGGCCATTATCAGCTCAAAAGATATTCAAAAACAAACGGACGGATTATCAAAAGCAAAGCACTTCCCCAATAATTCATAAACAAGCCACTGAAGAACTACCTGAGAACAGAACGAGATCATCTATATCATCATGACATTATAATAATTAAATAACGGTAAGTGTATCTCCTCATTCCTCTGAAGCAGCAGGTGAGCACAATAACTCATTTATGAGAAATCACTTCAACGCCCACACTAATGGCACCCCCAGAAATGAGATAAACTGTTCTGTATTAAATCATCCAAATCATCCATCACTCCCTTACTCACTGAATACCTGTCTTTTATTGCCTGCCAGTTACTTGTGTGTGTGTGTCCCAGCACAATGGTGTATTCCTCTGATCTGCAAGGCCGAAAAAAAAAAAAAAAGTTGCAATAAAACTACTCACCCAAAGTAGACGTCAGGCCACATGTCACCCATACTGACAGAACATAAACGAAAGAGTAACGAGGAGTCATCAGAGCAAAATGAAAAACCAGTTCTGCGGAGGTGAACCCTTCACCTATTCCCAGAGACAGGATCCTCTCTATTGTGAAGCGCACCTCACACAGATTGTTGTGAATACGTCCAAGAGAGGAGGTTGCATCTTCTTAAATAGTGCCCCACCTCTCACGTGGTATAAATAGGCCCTGTATAAATAATGTGGTCAGCCAGATCAGCATTCTGTGTGTAAAATGCTGTTCTACATTCAGCCAAACCGGTTTTTATCTATTTAATTTTTTTTCTGGTTGTTTAGCAACGATTGTGTGTCTGTGGTATTTTCGGATAGTGTACGTTTGATGTTAAACATGGCCCTCATAAAGATGTGCTTAATATTATATCGATGGATTACCAGGGATTCTTTGCTTTTTGACACCTGAAACTGCTTTCAGTTCTGTTCGTCCAGAGATGCAAATTGGAGATTTTTTCTAACCCGTAACAAAACTGTTACGCCTCATATTGCTTTAGGGTTTACGCATTTGGCACGGAGAAAATTATTAGACTATCAAAATCCGAAAACCAACAGCCCTTTTGAATCTCATTTGGAATTTTTCAGAGGTGTATAGTGTGTCCAAATCTCTCTTTCAAGACTGGACTCTGAAAATTCCTAAACCCACACACTTGTGAGACACGCATCAGCTTGATCTTACTCAGAAATACCTCCTTTGTTGCCTTTTTTCGTCCTTGAAAAAATGTATCCTTAAAAATCAGAAAACCAAATTATGAATACATATAGCATTGCGTGGGGAAAAAAAGGTTATGAGGACGTTGCTTTTTGGATTTTGGTTTATCATTGTATGACGCAACAATGTCTAAACACCCAACAATTCGAACTATCGTTGGAGGAACAGCGCTCAGTTTACAATAGGTGGGGGTTTATCTCTGTCATAAAAGGTTGCAAACACGGAGAAATAAAACCAAAACCCTTAGAAACTCTATTGATTTCTGTTACAGTCTGGAGACATTACTACCAAAACAGCTTGAAATTTGCGATACTTTATCCTTTAGTCGTCGATCAGGATTTTCTTTTCTTTTGAAAATGGAACATGCGTATTTGTAGAAATCCATATTCAAAATATAAACATAGAATTGTTCTCATTACCTAAAAAAGCGATATGTAGCCTACGCAAATGAATTAAATAAAGAGAAAAAAGAAAATATAAGACATCA